TTAAATTAGCAGAAAAATGCTGTATTTAAGTTTATTCCTGGTAGAGGAACATGTGTTCATTAATTTTCACATAGAAATTCAACAAAACATATAAAATTACCTGAGGTATTCAAACTTTTGCACTTGACTGCAAGTATGTAGAGATACACCGATCAGGCATAACATTATGACCATGTTTGTATGGTCCTTGTTTCTACGCTCATTGTCCATTTTATCAGCTCCACTTACTATATAGGTGCACTTTGTAGTTCTACAATTACAGACTGTAGTCCATCTGTTTCTCTGCATACTTTGTTAGCCCCCTTTTACCCTGTTCTTCAGTGGTCAGGACTCCCATGGACCCTCACAGAGCAGGTACTATTTGGGTGGTGGATCATTCTCAGCACTGCAGTAACACTAATGTGGTGGTGGTGTGTTAGTGTGTGTTGTGCTGGTACGAGTGGATCAGACACAGCAGTGCTGCTGGAGTTTTTAAACACTGTGTCCACTCACTGTCCACTCTATTAGACACTCCTACCTTGTCAGTCCACCTTGTAGATGTAAAGTTAGAGACGATAGCTCATCTGCTGCTGCACAGTTTGTGTTGGTCATCCTCTAGTCCTTCATCAGCGGTCACAGGATGCTGCCCACAGGACGCTGAATATTTTTGGTTGGTGGACTATTCTCAGTCCAGCAATGACACTGAGGTGTTTGAAAATTCCAGCTGATCCACTCAGACCAGCGCAACACACACTAACACACCACCACCACATCAGTGTTACTGCAGTGCTGAGAATGATCCACCACCCAAATAATACCTGCTCTATGAGGGTCCATGGGTGTCCTGACCACTGAAGAACAGGGTAAAAGGGGGCTAACAAAGAATACAGAGAAACAGATGGACTGCAGTCTGTAATTGTAGAACTATACAGTAAGTGGAGCTGATAAAATGGACAATGAGCGTAGAAACAAGGAGGTGGTCATAATGTTATGCCTGATCGGTGTAAGTGGCAAATGATGAAAGGAAAAACTAATAAATGAGTGGAGAAACATAACAAGTGCACAACAATTAAGCAACTGGCATCCTATCATGCTCTGTGGCATATATAAAAATGCTTTTGGAGCAAGACGGCATAGGAAAAAGATCCAAGTGACAATGAAAGATGATTAATGAAGAGGGCACTAGTCTACAGAAATGTGTAAAAAAAGTGATAAGATCATATGAGTTATCCTTCACCATATTCTCCACAAGTGGAAGAAGGCTTTTAGTTTGGTGTACACCAAGAGAACGGTACAGGCCTGAATCCTTGACCCCTACAATGAGGTGGTTTTGTGGCTCTGTTATGTTGTTGGGGGATACCATGGTTTGTTGGCATAGTTTGGATCCACTCCCTTAGAGAGAAGGGTTGCTGTAAATCTATATGAAGTTATTCCGACTGATCAACTTTATCCTATGATGAAATATTTCTGTCCTGATAGGAGTGAATTCTTCCTGGAAGATAATGCTACCATCCACAGGGCACAGGTCACTGAACGGTTCAATGAGTCTACAAATGATGTGAATCATATGCTGTGGCCTTCACAGTCATTAGATCTTAATGCACTTGAACACCTATGGGAAATTTGGAATCAACAGTCAGACAGTGCTCTCCATAATCACCAAGTAAGGGAATGTCTTGGAAGAATGTTGATCCATCTCTCCAATACAGTTTCAGACACTTGCCAAAGTGCACTGAAGCTGTTCTAGCGGCTCCTGATGGCTCAACACCTTACTAAGACACTTAGTGATGGTTTGTCCTTTGATCTGTCACTGTCTGTATGTATGTATGCACAAGGCTGTGAAAAAGTATTTGCCACCTTCCCAATTTCTTTTATTTTTGCAAATTTATCACACTGTTTCAGATCATAAAACTAGTTTTAATATTAGACAAAGATAACACAACAAGTAAACACAAAATGCTATCTTTAAATGATGATTTCATTTTTTTTGAAGGAAAATGCTGTTCAGCCCTATATGGCCCTGTGTGAAAAAGTAATTGCCCCCTTAGCTACTAAATCAACCAGTTAACCAAATTCATTTGACTACTGGGTTCAATTTCACTAGCCACACCCAGGCATGATTACTGTCAGACCTGTTGAATCTCAACATCATTTGAATAAAACCTGCTTGGCAATGTGAAGCAGGCTAGATGGTCTCAAAAAGCAATACATAATGTCATGTTCTAAAGAGATTCACATATATGTGTGAAACAAAGTCACTGAAATCTACCAGTCTGGAAAGGTTTACAATGCCATTACTAAGGCTCTGGGACTCCAACGAACCACAGTACTATCCACAAATGGAGAAAACTTGGAACAGTGGTGAACAGTGGTGGCAAAAATGGCATCCATGGAGGAGTTGCAAGGCGCAAACCACTGCTCACCAAAAACAACACAGTGACTTGTCTCGCACTTGCCAAAAATCTAGATGACCCCCAAGACTTTTGGGATACTATTCTACAGTCTGAAGAGTCAAACATGGAACTTCTTGGAAGACAGCTCCTGTTACATCTGACATAAAGCTAACACCATGTCCCACCATTAGAACACCATACCAATAATCAAACATGGTGGTGGTAGTGTGATGGTCTGGGGCTGCTTTACTTCTGCAGGACCTGGATGACTTGCTCTCTATCAGAAAATCCTGAAAGAGAATGTCCGCCTGTCAGTTTGTGACCTAAAGCTCAAGTGTTGTTGAGTTATGCAGCAGGACAGTGATCTGAAGCACACAAGCAAGCCTCTGAATGGCTCAAAAGAAACAAAATTAAGGTTTTGGAGTGGCAGAATCAAAGTCCTGACTTTAGTCCCACTGAGATGCTGTGGCAAGACCTTAAATGGGCAGTTCATGCTGGGAAACCCTCTAATGTAGCCCAGTTAAAACAATTCTGCAAAGAAAAGTGGGGCAAAGTTTCTTCACAGTAATGTAAATGACTCATCGCAAGTTATCGCAAATGTTTGATTGCAGTCGTTACAGCCAAAGGTGGCCAACCAGTTTTTAGATTTGAGGGGACAATTACTTTTTTTTTTACATGGGTGATATAGGTTTTGAATAAATCTTTATCTTTAGTAAATGGAATTATCTTATAAAAGCTGCGTTTTGTGTTTACTTGTGTTGTCTTTATCTAATATTAAAATTAGTTGGATGATCTGAAACAATTTAATGTGACAAATTTACAAAAACAGAAGAAATCACTATTTCACAGCACTGTTTCGTTCTATCAAACAAAACACCATTGACAACAGTGTCGTGGGTTTTTCTGCCGGTTTTATGGTCTGCTCCTGTAGTGCAGTGAGTTACAGTAGAGTGGGTACAGCAACTCACCAATGTGCTCCCTGTCACACCTAAGACATTCCATAAACTTCCACCAGGCAAAGAAAACAAATTCTACACATCAGATGCTAGTAAATACAGTCAGCACAAATTAAGAAATCAAATTAATATTCAAATTAATATTCAGACAGCATCTCTTGAAGTACTGCTTGTACGGCTTGTCTGCTGACATCGATACATATGTGTGCGTTAGTGTATGTGCGTGGGTGGATAATAGTGTCAGTTACTGAATGCACTGATGACTGGCTGAATGTGTATGGATGTGCTGTTTGAGAGTATTTCTAGTCTTCTTGTTTCAATGTAAAGTCTGGTGGAGAGAGTGGGTATCTATATACCGCAGGCTAAAGTGATAATTGTATAGAACTGTGTGCATAAACCTTGTACTGGCGCTTTCTGGCGATTTGTATTCTCCTGCTCTGTAGTCACCAGTCCATGCAGCATATCACAGGCCATGCTGGATTGTCAGACATTAAGAAAAGGATTTTTTTTTTCAAATCTTTCTTCAAGGCACAGCAAGAGAGCACGATACAAACCACAATTCATTTACATTCAGTTTGGCAAGAAAACCCTCCCACCCCTTCCCTTCCCTTCCAATCCTAGAGCCGCTAGCAGCAAAGACCAAAGTACAAAACTTACAAAGAGCATTAGAGTGTTACAGAAGCTGGGGCAACACTTCACAAGTTAGAGAGCGCCATAGACTGAAATAGGGCACGAATAAGGAAGGTACTGTAGTCTTGTAAACAACATGCGGTGTTGGAGAGCCTCGGCATCAACTTGGCAAACGCTGGCATGATGCAATCACTGCAATGTTAATACTAGACAATCCAAGTTTGTATGACAAAAGTACCTTATGTTTTTCTTTCTCACTTTGAGAACTTACTTGGAACTAACATACCAAATGCTGAGCTAGGTGTTTCATTCAAATAAACAGCTTGGGATTTTTACCCACCTCGTCTTGCTTTTCCAGTTAGCCTGCATGTCACTTGATTCTGGGTGTTTCTGTTCTGTTGTGTGTGGTAGGTAAGTTACGTTGGGTTGCAAAGATATGGGTGACCAAAGTTTGAGTACTAGATAAGGCATACTGTATTGACGGTAGGGCTGAAAGATTAAACGTTATTATATTAAAATTGTATGTAATAGAATACAGATTTTATTATAGCCTTCGTTGTCAGCAATGCTGTCTTAACAAGTTTTCACGGGGGAATTTAACCCAACAGCACACAGCTTGTGAACTACCTGTTGATGAACTAGACAAATCAGAGGCACCCAACATTCATGTGCTGTGAATGCGACCACACAACCACAACTAACTGGCAGTCAAGCCTCAATAGTGGATATTCTGGTCTTTTTGGCCAAAAACAAACATTATATATAAAATAATTTAATTCAAAACTCAGTCACTATATCATGATTAGATATTTTGCCCAAAGTGTCCAGCCCTAATCAGTGGGAATCAGTATCGGGCCGATATCAGCAGAAACGCTGGACTGGATATTGCACAGAAAAAAACAATCCTGTAACAAATCTAGTCTGAAAATCTAGTCTGAAATAGCTCAACTCACATTGTATGATATGATGTTGTTAGCTGTGTAATTCTTTCTGTGGGGTAGTAGAGTGTTTGCGTAGTCTAAGCATGATAGTCTACTTTTAGATGCTCATTTTAAGTGAAGCACTTTGATTAAAATAGCTTGTTTTAAAGCTAAATAGTTTTTAAGGAATAAATATCGAATTGTTTTTAGCATTCGCCAATACTCAAGATTTTAAAATCGGTACTGGTATCAGAAAAGAAAAAGTGGTGTAGCGCAATCTCTAATGAGTAAACAGAAATAAAAAAAAAAATTATGATTACCACCATACGTGTAGTGTTTGGGTCAATGACCAATGGATGGTTTATGCACCCTCACTTGCTGCAACAAAAGAGAAAGAAAAATACCCTCTGTGAATCAATGGTTACAAACACACCCAGACTCACCTGGTTACATATCTCAAATAATAATAACAATAATAATGAGAAGAAGAATAAGAATAAGAATAATAAGAATAATAATAACAGTAGTAAAGCACAATACTCCCTCGATAAAAATGTTACACTGTTACATAAAATCCAAGTAGCAAGTAAAAAAAGACATCAACAGCCTTACATTACACTAGGAACAGCAAGATGAATGATAGCTATTAACAGATCCAAATACATTCCTTCCCATGTCCAGTTACGTCCAGTTTTACTAACATCCTGACCATAACAGAAGTCCACTGTCTCAAGTTTTTGGGAGCCGCACTGCGAGAGCTTAGAAAAAAAATGCACAGAGCAAGGGCATGACCTCAACAGGGCCGAGGAAATACTCCTCCAAAGCACAAGGTCCAGTTTTCCAAGCTTCCGTCGGCCAAAGTGCCAGACGCCGGCAGCCGCAATGCAAACCCAAGAAAAACAGAAGAGAAAAGGAGAAGACAGAAGGCAGGGTAGAAAGCAAACACCAAGAGAGGCTACACAAACCCCTCACTGTGCCAGATTCACTTCTTAAACGGAGGTTTTTGAGGACAAAAAAAAATGCAGCATAGTGCCTCTGTGTCAGCCTCTAGCTAAGGTGAGGCATTGGGGCTTCAGGTTTTGGTGGGAGCGCTGGCTATAGGCCCATTACTGGTAGTCCATGGGGCTGTCCATGAGTGGGCTGGAGCAGCAGGGGTCTGGGGGGGCATCCTGGAGCTCAGTCTCCAGTGTCTCCTCCAGGTCCTTCTCTGTTGCCCCCTCGTCCTCATGGTCCGGACCTTGGCTGTTCCCCATAGTGCCATAACTCTGGTGGGCGGGAGAGGGCATGGGGGTCAGACCCAGCTCCGGCTCCAGCAGAACCGACGCTATAAAGAGCTGAGCAGAGAGAAAGAGAGAAGGGAATAAGTGGGTGGACATGAAGACAATCATCAAAAGTGGTTGTTGTTTTGTTCATGCAACAGGCATGGACAGCCTTCCATGTTTTAATGGGAGGCCACTGGGACCGTGAAAAGAGTGACTGAAGTGACACTTCGGAGAAAAATTCAACTTGCACAATTTTCTCTTTACCCCAAATGTAGCTGAACAGTCAAGACATGTTTGGCATCCAAGTTTTGCTTCTTCAATTCTGCCCCAGAGCTGCCAATTAGCATTGTGCAAACTTGCATGCCTAAATTGCACATTTGCCCCAAACTGGGTTGAGTTGTAAATTAATCTCAAACAGACTCGCTTGTTTGGTTTCTGACACATCCTATTATTGACAAAAATGGACAAAATTAAGGGTTCAGCCACAGCTTCTAGCCATTTAACATTTTTCACATTTCTTAGAAAATAATGTAAGCAATTTGCACAGCACTAGTTCGTGGATATAATATATATTCCTTACTTGTTAGCTAGAATAGCCTCGTAGCTGCAGTGCAAAACTAAAGAATCAAACTTCAGACACCAAACATAACTTGAGTGATTGACTACATTTGGGCTAAGGTGAGAAGTTTGTTTACCATAAGATTATGTTTAAGATTAAGTTTTTTTTTATTTAAGTTTTTAGCATAATGTTTCCTCTTCAATTTAGTTGTTGGCAATTCCCACCTGCTAGCTAAGATGCTACTAAGCTAGAAGGGTGAGCGCTAGCACATGCTAGCCTTCAGAAACTTGTGAAGCCAGCCAACTGCTGCTAACACAACCTCCTTGTACAGCTCATCATGCTTGAAGGAGAAATTGTGAATAATTCTGTAATGTTGGCTAGCATCGCGCTGGGTTATAGTGGAGAGGGAGGGTCAAATTGTGAGGCCAATTATGCTCTCTTGGACTCCTGGCCACGGATGGCTGTTAGGGATAGGACAAATGCTTTCGAAAAGCTTTTACTGCTTCAACTTCAAGTACTACCGCAATTAAACAGCACTCAACAAAATGGATTCAGAAGCAGGTACATTAGCAGTGGTCATGGTGGACGCAGTGCTTCTCTCTGTATCACTGTAGGCTCCTTCTGTTGTTTGGTCAGACATCTGAAACATAAGAATAAGGATTGAAGCATGGGTTAAAATATGACTCAGCACAAAAAGCTGTTTGGCTAAGATTAAGAACATTTCATCAAAAATGTCTCTTTTTTATGCAACTGTACATGTTTTAGCTCTACTATAATACAAGAAGACTCAACAATGTCTACGATCACACAGCTCACCTGATAGCTTGTCAGTCTGTCAGGCTGCAGTTTTTTCAGACAGAGGCCAAAGAAGGAGAAGACGATGCAGAAAAGTAAAGATACGAATGTGAAGAGAGTGATTGGTCGCATTGGACCTAGAACCAAAAGAAATAGACCAGCTATGACATCATACAATATGGTAATTACACATTTCACATGTCCTCAAACCATAGAAAGTTTAAAGAGTACATTCTTTTATTCACAATTAAAGGAACCCCTCACTTTATCTGAAAGATCTGCAACATTCTAGGCAACTATTCCAAACAAAAAATGTGCTAAATGTTGACAACCAGCTGATGAGGAAATTAAGAGTGGACGGTTACCAAATCTCAGCACGGAGAAGAAGAGCAGCCAGAACATGCAGAGTATGGGTGCCACCAGCACCTGACTGATAGCAGCTGAGTGGATGCGCTGGCTGAGCTTGGTGGGGATGTAGGCATAGTAGATATTATAGCGGTCCACCATGTGCTTCAGAATCAGATACAATAACCCTAGAACAGACAAATCACAGGCAATCACAAATCAGGATTTACTTCTTTATAAAAACATTAACACATAAGTACAGATGAACAACATCAGGGAGATTTGTGACATACTTTTGTCCATTTTCATGAACAATAGAAAATATACTGTATCAGCGAACACATACACAAGTCTATCTGACATTAACAACTTTACATGGTTTGAGGTGTATGATGCTTTAGGTGTTATAAGGGTGTAACAATATACATTTTTTGACAATATCATATAAGATTATTATGGCTCATATGTTCATAAAAGTTGTCAAACAGAGGTTTTCTAACAAAATAAGCTCCAAAAATAGCAACTCCTTGAATTTTATAAAAAACTTCAGAAAAAAAATCCAGTGATTGTATCATGGGTGTGTGAACAGCATCAGCCCCTTACTGTTTCTAGATATACTTTCGTCCATTTGTATATAGATAACAGTATGTCATACGGTGTCAGAAACCGAGTGTATTTGAGATTCTTTAACAAAGTTACATTGATTGAGGCAAGTGTGATGATTTACGCATGATACTAACTGAAATAAGCTTCCACTACTTGTTAGCGACATGAGCCTCACAGCTTCAATGCAATGCAAAGTGGCAAACTTTAGACAGCAAACATGTCTTGGCTGACTGGCTACATTTGAAGTAAAGAGAAAATTATGTAAATCTGTCTTTTTTTGCCAAATAATGGCTTCATGTATATGAACATCAGCAAAGTGTGAGGTAACGAGCTGCCTGCTTGCTAGGAATGAAGACTATTGGAGCTTTGTGCAACAAAGTACACCATATTACACAGGTGTGTGGTTAAAACTGACAGTGAAGTCCAGATGTAAGTAGCAGATGCCAAATGAACTCAGTAGAGAGGGGAAAATTATGATGGTGGATTGCAGCGTAGTAAATAAACAGTCATAATGTGCGGCGGTGACAGAACAGGCGTGGAGTGGGCGTCTGGCTCTCGGCTAGACGGGTCGGAGTGTCTGGAAGACTAGAGTGGTGTTCACACCTCGCGGCCACGTTACACAGAGATACTGAGATACTGTCAGCGATATGGCTCAGACGCCCACGCGGCACACACTCCACTGAGGAAGAGAAGTAGAAGACAGGAGTGGAGGGAGGAGGAGTGGAAGACACAGATAAAGAAAAAGTAGGATGCAAGAGAAAGACGGGAATAAGAAACCAGAATGGAAAAGGATGAAAAGCAGGGAGATTAAATGCGTGTGTGAGGAGAACTGAACCAAGGAGAGTTATATGAGGAAGTTGTTTAAAAAGATGGCAGATTTTGCACAGCATTCTTTATAAACTCATAGTTTAGCTAAACTCATTGTTTCTGAGACTGTGTGACTGTTATCTACATAAATGGATAGAAGTACATTACATAATCTCCTTGAATTTTGCCTGTAATTTGGATTAGAGGAAAATTATATAAATTTGATTTTTCATCAAACTATTGCTTTAACAGCCTAAATATGCCCACTATTTAGGGGTGCACTCTGGGTCATTGGCCCTGTTAAAACTGCATTTGCAGAAAGCAATGCCCACCCCTAATCCCAGTGCAAAGCTAGAGAAAAGCTGTGATAGTGAACTTTCATGGAACAATTTGAAAGTAGTAAGGCTTTTAAGCTTTGACAGCTGCAGAGACAGCCTGGGTGACCATAAAAATAAGTGTGCTATTTTGTGCATGCTATAGCCTGGTATGTTGGTCCACTACAGCAAAAACACCAGTTTGATGTAGTGATTACAATAATTAGGTAACTTAATTTTGCATTGTGTTTTGAATAAAAAAACACATCATCATTTCAGTGAATTAAGGGCAAGACCCGTGGGTAATTGAATTGATTTTCTCATTTTTCCACCATGTCATCTGCTCATAACATCACAAGCGATGACAGGAAAACAAAGCAATCACATTAAATCAGCACTGTTAACTTTGTGAGTTAATTACAGAAACTAGTTGCCAAAGCCATTGCAATATACTTTGAGCTGTTTCTTGGTAACTTTGAAAGATACAAAAATCTTGTATGGTTTTACTTTTAATTTTTTCACCCCCTCCCACCAATGTTTCTTTAACACTAATGCCCATATTGCAGACTCACCAAATGGTACAATGACAGGGCAGGTAATGCTGTAGGTCATACTCATGGAAAAGATGCACATGGTCCAGGCATATTCTAACCCAAACTGGAACTCATAGGCCTGACTCTGCAAGAAAAATAACATCTTAGATTGAATAAAACAGTTAAACTCTATGGCACCTAACAAATACTATGGCTGTTTAACAGTGGTGCTGGTGAGCACTTGCCACTCTGTGCCAGAAGAATGTGAGCAGTTTCTGGTGATGGAATTTTACAAATTACCTTGAAATATAAAAAGCGCCATATTTTGAGGAGCCAGCATTTTTCTTCACTGACAGGCAGAAATTCTGTTAGGCATCCTTCACAGACATCATGTTCATCATGAACATCATTCACGTCACCATAAACTGATGAGTAATAATGTACTCACTCGTTTAACGTGAATGCGTTCAGCCTTTGACTTGGCGAAGCAGAGGCGCAGCGAGTACACCAGCAGCGCAGGAATCCGCAGCAACTCCATCGATGTGCCAATCAGGCTCGATGTGATGACATAGTTTACGAAAAACGCTCCATTATCAGGCAAGAACACACACCTGAGAAAATATCAAAAACAATGAGAAAGGAAATTATATGGTTAACTGCATACAAATATAAGAGAAATATACTGTAAGCAGCTTCGACTTACTGGAACTTCACATCTTTCTCATCCATGAAGTGAATGTCGAAGAGCCACCTGAAGAAAAAATCCAAACTAGAGAACAGATAAAGTGGGTTATATCAATCCATGACATACATGGGTCTGAGAAGAAGATACAAGCTAAATTGGTATTTAATAATACAAAGCGTCTTTTTTCCAATCTAACTTTTTTTATACATATTCTGAAAACATTTATTGTGTACATGCAGCATTCAATAATGGCAAAAAGTACCTGGATAGACCGAGAGAAGGTAGAATAATGACCATGAAGATCAGCAGTAGAAAACATTTGTGCATGGTGGTCTGATTCTCACTGGACCTGGAATAAGACCCAGCACAGACACATTATGAAGCTGTACTGTTGTTTTGTTCTGTTACCTGTTACTCAATTTAAAACCCCTCCAGTGCCAATATGGCCTCCTCTACAAACAATTTACACAGACAGAACATACTGACCATGTAAATTTAACTCTATCTACAGCTCTTACACTATGGATGTCTGTTGTGATTCTGGCCATAGATTAAACAGTCCTGTTAATTTTGATTCCCTACAGAATGGAATTTCCAGCATATCTGAGTTCATCATAACCAACTATGTTTTTAAACCATTTCTTTTACTAATATAGTCCAGCCTCCCTAAAACCTGTAACTTGATCATTATCTTGCGACAGATAATGGGAAGAGTATAAAGTAGTGGTGGTGAGTCTACCACTGAAAGAGTTAAGTGTTGGACTCCAATTCATCTGTGGGCCAGGGTTAACTTTTGGCCAACGACTCTAGGGGTGGAAATGTTTGGAGTCAACACTTCATCTCTAATAATTCCTTTCAAATTTAACATCGTAATCGACTTAAGGGAGTCAAACGATATTCTCAAAGTGCACTCTTCAGCCCTTACTGTACTTGTATGACAATTTATGAACGGAAATTACAATTTATGAGTAATTTTTCTAACATAATGTAGTATAATCTACAAATCTGTAGCATATCATTGTGATATGTGAGAGCTAATAAAAGTAAGTAAACCATGTTTGGGATTAATCTTCACTATATCCATTTATCTGTTGGCTCTGGCTCTGTCTTGGCTAAGGTGGAATCGAAATGTGAATTCTGTAAGCTCCAGCAGCTGTCAGACAAAGTCAACTCCAGAAAATGCGAAGACATAAATATATATAATATATATATTATATTGTTGTTGTCCAAAGAAAAACAAGTATCTCCAAAATAGTAACTTTACAGGAGAAAGCAAAAACACTCCTACCTTTCAAGGTAAGTCAATGTAAAGAGATTTTATTCCAAGTGATTTTAGAGCATTTCTATTGGTCCATTCATCATAAACTTTTCAAACAATGTAAAGGACAACTCGTGTGTTGAAATGATGTAGAAAAATAAAAATCGACAAAAATGGAGATAGCAACGATATATAAAGGGCCCTTTGATATGGCATCATTAAAAATTGGCCTGCATTACTTTAACCAAAATTACATCCGTTAGATGATGTGAATGGTCTATAGAAACTCATCTGGATCGCAAGAGGTTGGTAAGGATGCTCACAGTACACAATAAAAAAATCTGTATTTAACATTCATCTGCATATTGTATCCTTTTGCATTATGAAGGTATTGATTAACAAATTATTTATCATGTGGCCCTACTCTAAAAACTCTCCTGTGCTTTACTTCTTCCCCCAGTGCTCATGTAGAAGCGCTCTATTTATGACAAAAAGTGGCACAGGATCCAGATGCAACAGTGAGAGGCCACCACTGCGCATTCATTATTCCCTTATTGTCATCACTATGACAACAAGACTGAAGAGGCTAGCGAAGAGTGCTAGTGAGTGACACAAACACACACACAGAGCTTGACAGGAGAGTGTGTGTGCATGTTCGGGTGGGAGGTTGGGTGGGGGGTTGCTGTGCTGTTATGCAATATGTTTGTGCACTACATTGAATATGTCAATGCAGTATGTTTTAGCTGTTTTACATTCATACAAAACCATGCATATTGTCACTGTCCAAAAAACAAAACAACAAAAAAACATGCATCTCCATTTTTTTCAATTTTTATTTTTCTGCATTTGACAGCAGCTGTCCTTTACACTGGGTAAACATTTAACGTTAAATGGACCAATAGAAATGATCTGAAATACCCATTACATTGACTTATAGTAAAAGGAAATAACGCTTATGCCTTCTGTAGTTTTCAAGTTTTCATTCTGGAGATATTTGGTTTTTTTTTGGAAAGCAATGATATACAATGACCAACCAGGTACAAATATCCTTTGACAGCAACTATACACCTAGTCATTAAGATTTAATGTGTTAATGTTGCAAGAATAACTTTATGTAATTGCTATGAAAGTGGAGTGGTACACATATAGTAACAGTAAGTAGTGCTTAGGTTTAGAGTTGCGGTTTTGTTTTTTGATTGATGGCAGTAAAGCACAGTTCCAGTCATCTGAGTCAGGGTGAATGCTTGTTACTGGTTTTCTTATGTAAGCCTATGGAATGCAACCAGAGTAAAGGAGTAGAAATTCCGATTCTTATGACAGGAATATGATTGTAACAATCATTAAACTAAAAATCATAAAAATTCGGACAATAATCAAAATAGTGTTCCTTACTTCGTCCAGTGACACTCGAAGAAGGCAGAGTAATAGACGATGAAGGGCAGCAGCACAGAGAAAGCCCACAGGAGCAGAGTGGGGAAGAACTGTGTGATCACTGGATTCTGAAGTAAAGAGAAGAGAGAAGATCCACATTTAAGTGCCATAAAGCAATGGTTCAGTGGAAATTTACAGTTTTCTCTTTCCCTTTTACCTCCTTGATGTCTAAAAACGAACATTGCATGGCCAAAAAAGTAGTAATATTCATCATGAAGGCTATAAGTAGAAATACAATGTTAGAAACCACATAAGCAAGTCTACTTGAGATTACTCAACTTGACACAACTTGAGGTAAGTTTGCACAGTGCTAATTGCTAAGGTATAAGCTTCCATGACTTGTTAGGTACATTAGCATTGTAGCTCCAGTGCAAAACTAAACAAGCAAACTCTATACTTGGGATTTAAAATGACTAAGATTTTCAAATGACTAAAATAATAAATAATGATTAATCACATTCATTAGTGTAGTTAATAGCAATTAATCACATTTGTCTTGTTTGCCCCTAAAGAAAGATTTTTTACATTTAAAAAGCAGTGCATTGTTTTATAGCTATAAGTAGACAAACTATGCTTCATCAGAATCTGTTTATTACAATCAATAATTCAACTTAGATTTAACATCAAAATAGGGTGAACGCAGAGAGTAATAGCAACTTGTTCAGACTCCTCTGCAATTATAGCCCTCTCATTTTGTTACTCTACATTTTGTTCCGAGGGGAACTGGAGCATACCACTTTGCTACTGAGTTTGTTAGTTTGTGGAGTTTGCAAGCTGTTGATTTACTCATAGTGTCCTGTGAGCACTGTTACTTATAAGGTTACTGATATTACAGATATTGCAGCATCAGCAGCGTGCTTTGCTTGTAAGTGATACAGTTCATGGTGTGACAATAGGTGGAAATAACTTTCATCAAGAGAGCCATTATTGGAACTTTCCAGTCAAAAGCTGTATTTGAACGAGAGGGCTACACTGTAAAAAAATGATTCGTCAACAAACCATTTTTTTCCAGTGTTAAGTCTCAGAGTCACAGCAACCTCACGCAAGCAGCTGGGCTTTTGGCTAGAACTATGGAAGGTTCGAAGGGCCAAATTAACGGCATTAAAATAATCAGTGGTGTTATTAATTTAGCACATCAATGTGTTAATTTTGACACCACTAATAAAGATGAATGACAGGTCTGATCGTCACTGACCTGCAGACTTTCCACTGGGCGAGTGACGTTAAACTTATCCATAGTGTTGACGATGATTGCAGGAGTGGTGAGGAAGAAGAGAAGGAGGAAGAGGAAGATGTTGAGGAGGACGCAGCGGAGCCACCAGCGAGAGCCACACACTGACAGATTCTCCCTGAAGAAACACATAGTCAATACACTTCCAGTTCTCTGAATATTACAGATACAGCATACATGATAGTCAGTTTTTCTGACGTTTAATAAGAATAGATACAGTACACCAAAGCTGTAGTACCACATTAAAAAAAAGTTATCAAAAGTATGAGAGCTGAGACGTGTTTTGCAGAGACCTGAAGCTGTTTTGTCTGTAACTGATGTCCTAAAATGTGCATCATAATATAGAGTCAGCTTTTTGCACAGGCGTGATATCTACCAGCAGCACCGAGCGTGTTCAACCAATGCAGCTCAACACCAGGGCTTTTAGAACATCTATGTTAGGTACAATTATGCAGTATTAATGCAGGATTTCACATCATCCAACATGTTTAAAAGTTCAGTTATGTTCAAATGTGGGAATACATGAGTCTTCCACCTATGGAAAATGAGTTTTTCCCATCACTGTGGGCTGTTACCACAGTAACTTGGTATACCATCACTGGGCCTATGGTAATTTTTTTATTCAATGTTTCAATTGCATACCACTATATCTAGAGATTAAATGACACCACGTCTTCTTTTCAAATACCGGGACCCACACTGAAACTTTGAACACAGTCTCATATGGATAAAAATCTGAATATTTTCAAAAATTGCTACGCTTTAAAGGGCTCAAATTGCAGAAAATTTTAATTTTCTCACTCAATTTTTTTTCAGGTTTGAGGTAGTATGGTAGTATGTAAACATTCTATTCACTCTCCAGTCCATACAGTCCATATATGTAAACTAAACTGCCAAAGCAGCCTGTTTTGAATTCACTGTTTCTGTGATGTCACAAATTCTTATTCTACATCTCCCTCCGATTTCCGATCCTGCATTTTCCGCTGATATCGGCCCGATACTGATACCTGGTATCAGATCGGTGCCATATCTAACGGCTACATGGCCAAGAGTATGTGAACACCTGACCATCACACCTATATGAACTTGCTGGACATCCCATTCCATAAGCATGGGCATTAATATGGAATTGCCCCCTGCCTTCGTGGCTATAACACCCTTCACTCCTTTGGGAAAGCTTTCCACAATTTTGTATAGTGATTTCAGGCTTGTGGATAGTTGCTCGTCCATGGAAACCCATTTCATTAAGCTTCCAACTCACAGTTCTTGCGCTGATGTTTCTTCCAGAGGCGGTCTGGAGCTCTGTAATGAGTGATGCAACAGGGGACAGATGACTTTTACGCACTTTAGCACTCAGTGACCCCTCTCTGAATTCTTGTGGTCTACCACTTCATAGCTGAGCTGTTGCTGTTCCTAGACACGTCCATTTCACAATAATACACTTACACTTGACTGGAGCAGATCTAGCAAGGCAGATATTTCACAAACTGAGTTCTGGCAAAGGTGGTACAACAGTGCAATGTCCCTGGGCCACTGAGCTCTTTAGTACGAACCATTCTACTGCCAGTGATTGTCTGTGAAGATTGCTTGGCTATGTGCTTTGTTTTATACACCTGTTAGCAATGGGTGCGGCTAAAACACCTAAACTACATAATTAAGAGGAACGTCTGCGTTCTTTTGGCTATATAGTATACGTCCAAACAGGACCATTTACGCCTTTGTGGACTCCAGGCATCATCAGGATTTAAACTTGCAACCTCCTAGCAATAGAATGCAACCACATACAGCTACATCATTTAGGGTCCCAGCCTAAATTCCTTTTTAATGAAATATTAGTGTTCTTTAATGACAGTCTCCACTATATAGTCAAAAAAGCTTATCGTAATTCAATTTATTGTGAAAATGATATTATATTGTCATATGTCCCACCCCTACCTATAAGCAATGGCCTTTTGATTCTACCAAGAAAAAACATGTCTGAAGACCAAAATGACATCTGCTTCTCTTCTCTACAGCCAGCACAAACACACTCAGCATTTCAAAGCCCATTTTTCTCAAGGGCGTGCTCTCTGAGCTATCTGACTGTTAGCCTCTAAATGCAGGAGGGTTAGATACCACAAAGCCAAAACAGGAGTCAGGCAACTTTCAGTGGGAAAACATCCACACTTCAGTGAATCTCTTTAATAAGAAGCTTGAGAAAAACAACCTCTATAACACGGACGAACGCACTCACACACACACACACAAACACACAGGCTCACACCATATAATACACATGCCCAACGACGCATGAAGCAGAAATCTGAGTGATACCCCCTCCCTACACTCTCACATACATGCTCAATATTCACACATATATTATATAAGAGGCTGCCAGAGCGGCTGTCTAGGCACACAAGCGAATCTGCAGGGAGCGAGACTTAATTAATTCAATTCTGTCTCTCCAATCAAAGTCAAATGGACTGGAATAAAGCGTGTTTGCAAGGAAAAGCATGATATTAAATGGGCGCTTTACTATAGCGGCGCTCACAACTCCATTCATCTGCTGAAATGAACACATTAAGTCAGCACTATAACTACAGCCAGGGAGTGCATGGAAAGCATTTACTTCATACAATTTTCATAAATACTTCCCTTTACAAACACATTGTATCATTTAATTTATTGTAGTTATTGCACCTGATTGCAAAGGTACTAGCTCTTACAAGGCCATCCTTTCTACCTGTACGTACCAGATAATGTCATTGGGAGCGGGGGCATAGCGGACGCCCCACTGGTGTGAGCGCACTACTGTAGTGATGCTGGACTGCTGCAGTCTCCGACGGCAACGTGTCCTACTGTAGTCCTTCACGATGCTGCACAGATACAATATACTGTCAAATTACATAGAGGCTGCTACCTTATTGTATCCTGCAATAATTTAGTTTATATTATCATCATATTATTATATCACATTTTGTGATTTTGTAATTTATTACTGCACTTATTGATAATATATAATACAGCTAAACAGATAATATATAATAAATGATAATGGCAAAAAAATTATAATAATCAAGAAAGTCATTCAGTTCTCTTTTATTAAGCAACCTAATGCCACAAAGTAATCCTGAAGCAACAAACTATTGTGGGGGGGCTGTGAATTTAAAAATAACACTTCTAATCTGGTTGTAAATGATCCAAAATAGAAAGTGGAATAATTTTCCTATCTAACAATAGAGGGTTAAACTTCTTCTAAATGACCTTAAAGTGACATTTTTTCTGAAAACCAAAATTAATTCCACTGCTAGTTCTTCCTAAGACATATTTCAACACTGAACAGCAAAATGAAAGCGTGTGCAGCAAAGCTTACACTGCAGTCATCCTCTCATCTCTGAAGGTGACAAAGGCAATGCCCAGTCTCTTCATGGTGATACGATTCTTCTCTGCATTAAACTCATCTGTAAGCTTCTCCTCTAATTCACTATAGTACTGTTCTGCATCAACCTGAGAAAAAGGATAGATGAGAAGAAAAGAGAAGAGTTAGCGTATAGTGATCTCCAGTGGTGAACTTGAGATGTTGCAACCAATGGCATAGCAATAACAGTGAAGTCAAATCAAGTACTATTAACTAACAGTGTACTTATATATAATTTCATGCCATAAACACAGTGTTTATATGAACCTTTCTGTGGCACTGTACCTGCTCAAAGCCACACATATCACAGCAGAGGATCTGAGCACAGGGGTGAGTCTTTATCATGATCCTTCCTTCTTTCTGAGACTTGGTAGTGAAATACATCCTCCCCTTCATTGCTTTTCGCCTGTCAAAAAAAAAATTTATGCCTTACATGAAGATATGAAGAGGAGGATCATTTAAACAACCATCACTGCAATGGAAAAGTCAACGGATTTCAAGTGGATTTTAATGAACTTTCCCGAGTGTTTAGCCCCTGAATTGATATGCACTGATTATAAATGGGAATGTGAAGTGGTGTGCTGTGGGTGGACTGGGGCTGGGGGAATTAATTACCTCTCTGAGTCGAGCTTCATTAACTTTTGTACGTCGAAACAGAAGCAGATGTCTGTGACTGTGCAGCTGGGGTAGGCCTCACTGTTGGGAGATCCCATGTATTTAAGAACTCATATGCAGTCAACATATGCTGTTAGAGAAACTACTTGATTTTCTCTTCATGTAATATTAATGGTTATAATACTGGTAACATCATCTGTAGAGTAGGGTTCATTAGCATGGAAAATAATTTTGATGTGCTTTCCTGCACTTAGAAAACAACAGAAAGACAAATAAATTGAAATACGCTTATAATAAAAGCCAAAGGGCTGCTGCTGGATTCAGTCAGTAAACACTGTGAGACACTTTCAAAATTGGTCAAATCTGTATAATTTGTTCTTTCAGAGATGGAACATGTTTTCCAGAGGGAATAAATTGTAGTAATTCATTACCAATGTAGTGGTGTGGGTAAATGTCATGAATAAACCCATGAAATTCCACAATAAAAGTGGAATAATGCATGTTATATAGCCACATATTTCAAATGTTTATTCATGGAATTCAACAGTTTCCCACTGGCTTCTAATATGAATGAGTTTCAGGGAAATACTTTAAAATGATTGTTTATGGTAATCCATTGCATGATACCCAGACAGATAAAGAGCATTTTAAAAAACGGGAATATTCGTTTACTAATTATGAGATGCAGATAAAAGCCTGAAGTTAAAAGTTAAAAGGGTCTGTCTCTGTTACTCACTGAAGATGTTTAGCGATCAGGCCCGGATCAGATATCTCTCTGGGAATGCTGGTGATCATTAGAGTTCTGGCAACCTGTAGGAACAACAAACAAACCTCAAACACACAGAAACAACTAAATGTCTACATGTAAACAAGGACATGTGAGGTACAGATGAGGAGATACGCACATAGACTGCGGTTCTCACAAACCTTCTCATCCTCTTTGTATTCCAGTCGTGAGGAGTGGTGGGCCATACACAGTACTGTAATCACAAAGTACAGAAGTGCGAAGATGCTGTGCAACCACAGAAAACTGTTCCTGGACAGAGAGAGAAAGTGAGAGAAAGGGAGAAAGAAAGAAATTAAAATTCAATTCAAGCTTTGGCTCTATGTTCACCATTTGCCATACAATATGTTAGTGATTCATCATCCGCAGAGACGGAGAGAATGGATAACCTACTGTGCTGGCACGTTTGCCACAGTCGTCCGACCAAAATTTTGAGGGTTGTCATCTGAAAGAGGAAGAAAGAAAGCAAGAAAGAAAGAAAGATGGAAAGAAAATATCACACATATAGTAGTCATAAGGTTTGTTTAATACAGTGGCTCCAAAATGTATTTAGACACTTTAACCACTGGTAAACTTCAATGAAGTTCTTTATGTTACTAAAGTCTGGGGCTGTTTTTCTTGCAATGGTGTCAGTAAGTTTGTGTTCTCTGACAGGATCATAAACTCAAAAGTGTACAAAGACATTTTAGATGTCTGCAATTTTCTCAGATTTAAAAGTCTTCTTTGGGCATGTCTCAGCTCAGTGAACTGTTCTACCTTTATTGCTCAGTGCATACTGTTCATGCTTTTGCTTCCTCGCAACAACCATGAAATAAGCCAAATTGCTTTAAAAAGCCTGCCTGAAATCCCTGCTGTTTTCCAGGATTATCCAATATTGTGCATATGGATATTTCTTTTACTTACGAATAACCTCTCCCCCTCAGCCACAGCATCTCTGCCATTTTGACACATATGTCCTTAGCTACAGCGTACAGATTAGAAAGAGCAATAATTTTAACATAGAAATGACTTGAAACACACTTAGAAGCCATGGGCCAATTGCTGAATTCTGTGAATAAACACTACTTCTGTAGAACATTTTCATAAATTCTTCGGATGAGGTCTTTGTAAATTAAAGTGCAAATCTGCGTAATCTTTTAGAGATGATACATGTTTTCCAGTTTTCTAGTAAAAGATTTGCGGTAATGTGTTATCGGAAAAGAGATATGGGCAGAGTTTACACAGAAAATTGGATTGGATGTTGTACTGGATACCAGAAAACCATGGATAAGTTAAATTTTTTACTCAATTTATCCAATCCTCATTGTTTTTATCAATTGCCCATTCCGCTTGCAATGGCATCCCCATAAGATACTACCTAGCATGAGCTTCCTCAGTAACACATGAAGCCAGCCACCGCAGCTTACTGAACTGCAGCTAGTGCAGCATAATGAACAGCTGAATGTGCTTAGAGGAGAACGCTAACTGCTGATTCTGTTATGTCAACTAACAGATGCCCGTGTTGGCTAGCATCACGCTGAGCTGGGGAGGCCGGTACACAGGGAGGGGCACCCACCAGAAAGAGTGATGCCAATTACGCTTTCTGGCTATGGATGGATGTGGCATCGCTGGGGATGGAACTTACGATCTCCTGAGGACAGGGACAGTTAGAACGTTGTGCCATTTGGGAGAAAAAAATGAAGATACCCTGTTTTGACAGTGATGGTATGGAGGTATATAGAGGTAAATGCTGGAGTCTTTCTTTAATGAGATGAGTGACATGCTGCAGCCTGCAGGTTACAGTCGGTGGTAGGAAACTGGCTGTGCACTAACCCCTACAATCCCTACAGAACACCGCAAAAAGGTCTGCCTCACATTCCAGCGTTAAAACTCACTCAAGTCTACTTTAAAAGATTACCATAAAATCCATCACTGCATCTGGCACAAGAAAATCTAATTGTGTGTGTGCTTTTTACAACCTTTTTCTTGTGGCAAGGACAGTCAGTGCCTTTCCCATGACATCCCTTGTTTTATTTGGCTTCTCTAACCCCCAGTTGTGCCACCCGAACCATCTGCAAACACTGCGGGGTGGTCTGAACAAGCCCTCCAGGCATGTCCACTAATGGCTGGGTATGTCTGAGGCCTCCTAAAACTTCCAGCGGATTTACAGGCCTTTCCTAGAGAGTCATTCATCATAATATAATAACCTTGTGAAAGACTATTCAAAGAAAGGTAAGAGTGAGTCTGTTAACCCTTACACATTTTTGCAAGCTGCATGCTGTAAATTTATAGGAATTATTTAGCATTTGCAGCTTGTTGACAATAGCAGAGAAGTTCCCCTTTCAACTGGTACCTTGTTTGTATTTGTGAGTGGAAGAGGAGATGTCTTGTGTTGATCTGAATGTGAAGAAACTTTTTTGTGTATAATCATGTATCGTAGAAAGAAAAAACACCCTTTACATTTTTGCCATGTTTCTGTCATTATCTGACACTGAAACTAAAATTAATCAGATATGCAGACACGAACTTGTGAACACAACATATTTTGAAAATAAATTTAAGTGCATTGTTTATATACTTTACTTACATACATAGTTATAATTTTATAACAACTTTATGGCTGCATTCCAGGAATATGCAAGAGAACCTTAGCAAGTCGATATTCAATAGCTCTGTCAATTAAGCCACTTAAATGTTGATAAAGTGTAATAAACTGTAGTAGTTTTTACAGCAAAAAAGTAATGCAGCAGTGTTACTGGTAACAAAGCACTGCCGGTTATCTTGGATACCAAAAGTGTTATGTCTGTTGTCATGAGGGCTTTACTGTGGCGGAGTGCTGAAGTAAAAAGAAAGCCAGCAGAAGAAAGAGGGAGTTTTGCAGGCGGGCTGACGTTACCAAGGAGGCTGCCGGAGAGGTTGACAGGCAGGATGATGGTGAGCGAGAGCAGACACACCACTGCCATCAGCAGAATGATGTGGCGCTGGAAGGCCAGGTATGTCACTGCATCGGGTCCGCACTTACTGCGGATCTCCTCGTCCCTACAGTGAACAAACACATGACAAAAATGGACAAAGTTATGCAACAGTAGAACTTAAATCTCTAAGCACCTCATGATTTGACTTGATTTTGATTTATGGCATCAAGACTAAAAATTATCATTATAATTTTTCTGTATTTGTTATTAACAAGCAGTGTTGACTATGGTTAAAATTGTGATTGCAAATGTGTGCATTAGTGAGATCCTGCAATTATCCTCCTCCAAACCAAAACTGTGTCGAAGTAAACTCTGAGTGTGTGAGAGTTTATTTAACAATAAATAAAAAATAAACATACAATAAAAAATGCGCTATAACTTTTGCAAAGGCCACATTTTATGTTTTATTTTTTCTAATATGTTAAGTTTAGCAAATAAACACTAACTGTGCATTTAAAAGTGCTGAGATTTGTTCCCTATGAAGGATGTGTTAACTTATTTCATTTAGAAAATCAACAAAATGTGTAATTTGACCAGAGGCACCCAAACCTTCGCTTACCACTATATACTATGGTATAACCTCGTTAAGGTGTGAAGAATGCTGTTTGTATTAAAAACTTGAAATGATTCAATAAAAATTAAATGAAGTGAAATGTTTTTTTGATTCCAAATCGATTCAGAATTTTCCAAGCAAAAATCGTGATGCATCTAAGAATCTGTTTATTTTTACAGCTAAGTATTTTTACAGATATGAGGATGTCATACAGTGTCAGAAACAACATAAACAAGACTACTGCAGAACTCGGTGCAGTTTAAAGTAAGTATGTACTTTAGTAATGCAGTTTGGTAATGTAGTGGAAATCTGCTTCTATTATGCCTTGTAGCTGCAGTGCAAAACTAAATGTGCAAACTTTGAACACTAAACATGTCTTAGCTGTTTGACTACATTTAGGGTAAGAGGAGATAATTGTGTAAATTCACTGTCAAAACTACACAACTAATATATATTGCATAGTAGTTACTAAATGATTCATAGTAGTTACTCAATACAGTTTAAAGGGTTAAGTGGCAAATAAATTACAGGAATCCTCATTTGTCGCAAGTGTAGCAGTAGCGCTTTACTGAAGGCTAAGGCCTACCTAAGCTTTTAATGACAACTGATAAAACCTACTTAATAATTTATAAATGCTATTTCCAATGAGCATCTGTTGTTATAAAGGCTGCTGTTGTCAACTTTAATGTTATTTCACCTGTGATGCTTTTTGGAATAAGCCTTAAAATGTTTATATAGATGTCAGCTGTCATGAAGGACTAGCTCTCACGTAGCCTTTCGTTCTTTCCTTCAGTAAAGTGTTACCAGTATAATAATGCTTTGTGCTGGTGGTGTGTATGTGTGTGGGCTTTTCTACTTATATCCCAAATAAGACATATTTGCTGCACTTTATAATCATCTATGATAATAAACACATGTAAAGACCATGCATTCACATGCACATATGCACACACATACAGAAACACACTCCCCCCCTCGCCCCACACACAGCCAGTGGGCTCACAGCATGGCCTCTCTGTCTCCTGCTGACAGGACCACCATCACTGGGGACTTCTTGGAGGTTCTAATGCAGCCGGCTAAATATGGCACTGTCTTGCCAGCCTAACCGCGCAAAATACATCCTGGAAACCATGGGAACAGAGGAAGTGGCTGCTTTACGGCACAAGGAAGGTTAGGAGCATGCCCGTGAGCCTGGCCGAGCCCGACAGACCTTCGGCCTGTGTTTGTTTTTTCTGCCTAATGAGATATAACACGAATGAGCCGGACGCCGGCTGATGACATCACCGCCGCCAGTGCACACTTACTTCATGTGGTAGAGAGATGAGAGCCAGGAGCAGAAGCCCTATAAAGAGAGGGGAGGAAAGACAACGAGTTCATAAAAAGGTCTGGGACACATAAAAGAGGCAGCACACAGAGCGTCTGGCTAGCTTAGCATCTGTCTGAGCCATTTGTCCTATAAGAAGAACACACAGGGCCTGACTCGCGGAAAGAACTATGTAAAGTCACGTAATGTCACTGAGAAGTCTGCACTGAACTGTCATGCAAGTAGAAACGCAGAAGAAGGAACGTGGTCAGAATGGAAAGGGAGAGTAAGGCACAGTGCATGAGAGACACATATAGTGAATACACACAGGCAGCTGTACCCCACCGCCAGGATTTACACTACCATTTTAAAGTTTGGAATCACTGCATTCATAATATAAAACCAGTTTTGTTGCACATGCAGTACTATGTGAAAGAGACCATCTTTAATTTCCACTCAAAACAACCAAGTACAAGTTATTCATTTTGACACAGACTAGATACAAGCTAAGCCACTTGCAAAAGGAAAGGGAAAGTGAAAGGAAAATAAGTGGGACTCCTAACAACTGTGTAAGACCTGGCAGACCACCAAAACTGTGACAATCATGTTTGAGAAATCTGTAAAAATCCACAGGTGTTTCTGCTCATCCTTTCCCATCCTTTCACCAACTTCTATGCCACCAACTTCTAAGACTGAACTGTGTGGGAAAAATATCTCTGGAGACTTTTTTGAAAACCTGAAAGAAAGTCTACCAGAAAGAAATGGAAGCCGTAATAAAGGCAAAGCGTAGACACAATAAATACTTATTATTATTATTATGTTTTGACACTGAAAAATAAACAGTGTACTTAAGGACCGTTTTTGACTGGAAACTAAATAAATAAAGGGTGGTCTCTTTGGACTTTGGAATCTTTGGTCTTGGACTTTTTTATGGCACTGAACATGTATTAGATGATTCTATATAACACTAACACTCTACAACTTCACAGATTTCGAATAATTTGGAGGAACGTGTAAAAAAGTAAGAATAATTTTGTGTACAATGATAAACAGAACTGTAGTTGATTCTAAAATGACTGAGAATGCTGTTTAATATCTCTGAGAGCAAAGCTTATGTTTTCACTGGGATGAAAGGACAGCAGTGTCCACCGCTATGTTATGTTTTGGCCAATAATGGGCGCCTGCACTGTCAGGTGGCTCATATAGTGAAATCTATTGATAATGCATAAGTAACCACCAGTCAATCTTATATGGTAGATACACTGAAAGAGTGTGCTAGCAGGATGCAAGATAGCAGAAGAGGCACTCCTGTTATAACAATGAGTATCGGATATGCTTAAATATAACAACAAACAATTTGTGCTTGTTCTCATTTCATTTACAATACAGGCCTTACGGCCCAACTGTGCTCAGATCCAATATTTCTGTCTGGGTGGTTCACATGCGTAAGTGGCTCATGTCTGTTATTAGTGTGACAGAAAGCACCCTGTGCCATGAAAGGCCCTGCCTGTGAAATTCAATTGCACTTCTTACTACAGTTGCATGGCCACATGCCAGATATGTATCTGATCTAAGACCACATATTGTCGCTGTCAAATCAAAGCTTTTTTTTTTAATATAAGTTGATAAAATCAGCTGCCCTTTATACTGTATGAACATTTCATGACGAATAGGCCAATAGAAACGTTCCAAAATTGCTTAAAATAAAATCTTTTCACATTACATTCAAAGTAAAGAACGTCTTTGCCTTCTCCTGTACAGTTGCCATTTTGGAGATGCTTGTATTCCTTTTGACAGTGATCATATGAATGTTGCTCAAATCTGATTGGAAAACATCAGGCTGTTGTGTTCCCACAGCTCGAAAAAAACTCCCTTTTGTGTCTTTTTTACAGTCGTATGCAAATGTTAGGTGTCTCTGGTCAAGTGACTGTTGATCTTCTGAGTGAAAATAAATACACATCCTCAAACACACTTCTGCGCATTTGTATTTAAATCAGCAAAAAATGCCATATGTAAGTGTGTTCCCTGTAGAGGATGTGTGAGGACTTTGTTTTCACATGGAAAATCAACAAAACTAAATAGATTCAAACTTTTGCACATGACTGTAAGGCAAAAATCAGATTTGTGCCACACAGCACAGCTGTCTCTCTGTAACTCTGCTGCACGAGCGTTGCTGTGTGTGTGTTTGTATGCTGTGTGTGTGTGTGTGCTCTCACCATGTCTTTGGTCTCAGAGTCTGAGGGGCTCGATTCAGAAGGAGACTTCTCTTTCTCACTTTGTTCTCCATAGAAAAGCGATGTTAAGCTATGACAAACAGAAGAAAACAATGTAGCAATAAATGTAAGAATGAAAGCACTTTATGAGACCCCTAAATAGCAGTACAAGCAACAAGGACATAAAACCACTGTCTGACATCAAGGCTTTTATCAGTTCACGAAGGGGAGCAGGGATGATAATAAAGTGTAATGCTAGAGCCTATTAGAGCAGTAACAGCATGACTGAGCAAAGTCATGATGGCTGTCAGAGTCGTGAGACAGTGTGGAAATCTAAGCAGCAGAACCCAATCTCAGCATCTGTCCACCACACACACACACACACACACACACACACACACACACACACCTTAAAGCATGTCCTGTTGAGACAGAAATGAGTGCAGCAGTGGAGACTGTGTACATGGACAGCTGCTGTGAGCGTGTCTGTGCCTCATATCCAGCAGAGCCTCATGAGTTATGAACCATTAGCAAAACATTACCCATAATCCTTCAGGGTGTGAGACAGAGACTGTGTGTGTGTTTGTCTTGGAGTGTGTGAGATAGTGTTGTAAAAAGTATTTTTCCTATAGACTGTGTTCTGAAAATAGAAGGAATACATGAAATGTTTAAATATTATATATTTCATTTACTATATTACACACTATAATAGCACATGGTTGTTTTAGTAATAAAAACTAGAGCTTTGAGAAACATGTATTAGCTCTGACTGAATGAATATAAGTAAATATCATCTATGTCATAAGAAAACCTCACAACTGCTTGTTTTTTTAAGCTCCAGCTGACCAACAGAAATAGTGCAAAATTACTTTTAATTTCTTTTTAAGCTAATCCTATGCTGTTGTATGCAAACGTTTGAACACCCCTCGTCAAATTACATGTTTGTGGATTTTCTAAGTGAAAATCCTCCACAGGAAACACACTTAAATATGGCATTTCTGGCACAATTTATATTTATTTGCTGAATTTAACATATTGGGAAAAACTAAACATAAAAATGCACAGGACACATTTTACATTTTATTTTGTTTTCTAAGAAGCTAAAATCAGCAAATATATAATAATTGTGCATTGAAAGTGCAGTTTATTCCCTGTAGAGGATGTGCTAACTTAATTTCAACCAATAAAACATGTAATTTGAGCAGAAGTGCCGAACATTTGCAAATGACTGTAAAGGATTGCGGCACAACTTGTAAAATCAGATCCAATGCTTGTTAAGACCTCAACACAGGAAAAATTAAAGAATTTCCCACTGCAAAACAACACACAGACTCTAATATGGCATGCGGTAATATGTATTGTGTTTAAACAGATCGGTTGCATGTCAAACATAACAAAATCAATGCAGTACTACTCTTCACCACAAGATGGTGCCATTATCTCACTCAATCCAGCCAAGTGGATGAGCTCTGGCACTGTGTGCTTTGCAAGCAGGCATGCTGTATGGTGTTAAGTGCAGAAAACATTTAAGTATTTGTACTTTATTATAATATTTAAGTATTTTACTACTCTAAGTATTTTGTATTCTTACTCTATTACATTTCCAAGAGAAATTCATACTTCTAATGTTTTCATTTAGACCCTCAAAGTCCCTGTTACAAATCTTATTTTTCTTTTTTTCTCTTGTCAATCAGTTGCATTCTGACAGTTTATTATTATAGGACGGTAACTGAATGAGGCATTGTCAGTTTATTAGAGCATTTAAAATTATAAAAGTACATACATAACTAAAGTTGTTTTTTATTGTCTTGATCTAAAGCTTTAGCTACAAGCTAATGTTAGCCCCAAGCTAACATACTACTCACAATTCTTCAATACAACATGATGCACTGTGATACAATTCAATACAATATAACATGTTTTATTGGTACATCTCTACACAGTACTGTACTTCCACTTAAATAGAATTTCTCCATACTTATTATACTGTTTTTGTTGAATTTTCTATTCCTGAATGCACTAGAACAGCTGTTTAAACTGTGATTTAGTTGAGTTAGATGCCTCCAGTTGCACTGACTGGAACTGATAATAGAGGTATGTTGTATTTTTATGGTGTTCTATTGGTTTTAGCCTTAATTCATAGACTTTCCAGCTTCACCCATCCTGGCTCCGGCTTTACTCTTCTCATCCATCGTTTCTGTATTTATTTGTAACTTGTCTCTGTCATTGTTTCTCCTATTACTGCGTTCACTTGTGTCTTAAATAATAATACGTTTAATTTACATAGCGCCTTTCTCATACCCAAGGTCGCTTTACACAGGCAAAAAACCTACAGTAAGCAGAAGAATGGAAGTGCTGAGAAAAGATGTAGGTTCTAAGCTGAGCTTTGAAGGAGGAAAGTGAGGGACAGTCACAAAGATATTGTGGTAATGTGTTCCACAGTTTGGGGGCCATGACGCTGAAAGATCTGCCCCCAGCGGTGACCAGTCTTGGGACAGATAAACAACCTATATGAGAACACCTGTTCAGCCAGGGCATGTGGGGGTGCAAGAGCACGGCTAAACAGGCTGGTGTTGGGCCATGCAGAGATTTGTATGTCAGCAGGAGGAGTTTAAACTGGATGCAAAGTGGGACAAATAATCAGCGTAAGCGACTTTGAACAGGCGTGATATGAGCTGATTTTTTTAGAGTGAGACAGTAGTCTAGCAGCTGAGTTTTGCAAATACTGAAGTGGGTGGATAGTTTTGTATGGGACACCAATGAGAAGGTAGTTGCAATAGTCTAAGCGGGACAATATAAAAGCACGAACCACAGTTTCAGTATCTTTCCTACAGAGCAAGGGGCGGAGACGAGCAATACTACGAAGATGGAAAAAGGCTGTTTTGAACAGAGCCCTAATATGAGGTTTGAAAGAAAGGACAGGATCAAAACGTACACCTAAATTACAGGCTTCTGTTAAAGGTTTAACAGTCACACCGTCCAAGTTTTGTGTGAAGGAATTTGCAATCACAGACTTAGGGCCAATGAGTAAAGTTTCATTTTTTCCCTCTTAGTTTCAGAAAGTTACTCTTCATCCATTGTCTGAGGTCTTCAATACAAGACATTAGGGCAGAAGGTGGCAGGTTAGGGGTAGTTTTGGTGCTGATATAGATCTGAATATCATCAGTAAGAGTGAAAATGAAGTCCATGACAGCAGATAATCTGACTGAGGGGTAACATAAAGATGATGAAGAGTAGAGGGCCAAAGACTGATCCCAATGTCATGTTACTCTATGTTTGTATAAATCGCTCCTTGTGTGTGAAGTCTTACATGTATGTTCTTGTGCAAAGTCTTGCATGTACACACGTGGACAAAACTGTTGGTACCCTTCCGTTAAAGAAAGAAAAACCCACAATGATGGTACCCCTAGAAAAGATTGAAAATAATTTGACCATAGGGACGTGTTAAACTAAGGTGTGTCCTGTAATTAGCATCACAGGTGTCTTCAAACTTGTAATCACTCAGTCTGCCTATTTAAAGGGTGAAAAATAGTCACTGTGCTGTTTGGTATCATGGTTTGTACCACACTGAACATGGAAGCTAAGGAGAGAGTTGTCTCAAGAGATTAGAAAGAAAATTATAGACAAACATGTTAAAGGTGAAGGCTATAAGACCATCTTCAAGCAGCTTGATGTTCCTGTTACTACAGTTGCAAATATTATTCAGAGGGTCTACGGGACTGTAGCCAACCTCCCTGGATGTGGCCGCAAGAGGTAAACTGATGACAAATTGAAGAGACAGATAATACGAATGGTAACCAAAGAGCCCAGAAGAACTTCCAAAGAAATTAGAGGTGAACTCCAAGGTCAAGGTACATCAGTGTCAGATCGCACCATCCGTCGCTGTTTTAGCCAAAGTGGACTTAATGGAAGACGACCGAGGAGGAAACCACTGTTGAAAGCAAATCATAAAAAAGCGAGACTGGAATTTGCCAAAATGCATACTGACAAGCCAAAAAGCTTCTGGGAGAATGTCCTTTGGACAGACGAGACAAAACTGGAGCTTTTTGGCAAGTCACATCAGCTTCATGGTCACAGATGCAAAAATTAAGCATACAAAGAAAAGAACATTGTACCTACTGTGAAACATGGAGGAGGCTCGGTTATGTTTTGGGGCTGCTTTGCTGCATTTGGCGCAGGGTGTTTTAAATCTGTGCAGGGTACAATGAAATCTCCAGACTATCAAGGATTTCTGGAGCGAAATGTGCTGCCCAGTGTCAGAAAGCTTGGTCACAGTCGCAGGTCATGAGTCCTCCAACAGGATAACACACAGCTACATCCAAGAATGGCTAAGAGCAAAGCATTGGACTATTCTGAAGCGGCCTTCTATGAGCCCTGACTTAAATCCTATTGAACATCTGCGGAAGGAGCTGAAACATGCAGTCTGGAGAAGGCACCCTTCAAACCTGAGACAGCTGGAGCAGTTTGCTCACAAGGAGTGGGCCAAAATACCCCTGGACAGGTGCAGAAGTCTCACTGAGAGTTACAGAAATTGCTTGATTGCAGTGATTGTCTCAAAAGGTTGTGCAACAAAATATTAAGTTATGGGTACCATCATTTTTGTCCAGGCCAGTTTCATTAGTTTGTTTTTTAAAATTATTCTGTTGAACCACAATTCAAAAGCAATGTCTGATTTTCATTAATTGATTTTAATTGATTATTTATTATTAATTTTATCAGTTTCAAGTGATTTCAGTGACCATTGTGGGTTTTTCTTTCTTTAACGGAAGGGTACCAACAATTTTGTCCACGTGTGTATGTTTGCAACTGTAAGACATGTTGCACATTCCACTAGCTGCTATCCAACCTGCCTGTCCTAAACAGCGTTTTTTTCATGTGTCTATACGTGCATCCCTAAATATGAGTGCAACAGAAGTACCTGTCATTCTCCATCAGCAGAGCCAGACGCCCATAGTCCCACGCAGCCTTCCTCAGACAGGAGAAAACCAGCAACAGGAACTACAACACAGCATCAGACAGAATGGAACACTTCCACATGACAAATCAGCATCAGCTCAACATTTCACTTTCTGTGCTACCAGTTTATACTTTGTCACTTTTTCCTATGTGTGAAAAATCCAGAAGAACCATTTAATTATACATGTCCTTCTGCACTGACAATTTTTATTAACTTTAACTTTTAAATATTAAAATTTAACTTTAACTGGCATTCTAATTTGGTGTAAAGTGCAATATTTCTGGAAGTGTTTTTGGGTATCTACAAATAAGGCCTCATGCTTCTACACGATATGCACATGCATGCACACGCACACACAGAAAGGAGAACAAAGCGTTTCTCCCAGAAAGCCCTCCTGCTCGCTAGGCCCACATGCAGCAGTAATAATTAGCCATATCTTTGGGCAGAGAGAGGAGAGGTGAGTGGTTGTCTTGGAAACTGACAGGCACTGAGGTCAGTATGCACACTGTTCACATAATGACTCCAGCAGGAATGCAGTCAATGACAAGACAATGAGAACACAGCAACAGGTCTCGCATATACACCGCCTCTCTCAGATGACATTTCTTGGGCAACGGAGCCTGAACATAAAACCACTAAAAACATTTCTGCTGCAGGCCAGGAATACCAACCAATAAAGTGTCCCATTGATTATAGAAATAACTATAGTGTGCATTTATCTCAGATGTGGAGAGCTGTATGCAGAATGACCCTGCATTTGTTTTCATTTTTTTCTAGCTGGTACATGGAATGTAAAGAATAACAAAGGCTAACTTACAGATTAAAACCGTCTCTCTCTCTCTCTCTCTCTCTATATATATATATATATATATATATATCCCATATATATATATATATATATATATATATCCCATAATGCCATTAAGAACTTTTTAAGAAAAACTATTTTCTTAGTATGTAGTAACAATGACTGAATCATATTCTAAACATAATTACATGTTTATCGACCACAACTGCATAAACAAAATTAGCAAAGTAAGAGAGCTGAATTAGGATATTAAGTTATAATCTGCCTGATCCATACCATAATAAGGATTTTTGTTGCACTATTTGCACTTCACTGAGCACAGGTTTCTAGTCCATTCCCTAAGATCACCCTAACCAGTTCACATTTTTGTCCTATTTCAGTGCCTTACGTGCCTAATTGAAGTAATCAGTGTTTCTCACATGTGTATGGAGTTAAAACAGAAGAAAAACACAGACTGGCTCTTCCTCAGGAAGTGATCTGAAAGCTGCTGCCTATTTCAGAGCTGCTGTGTTGAGGCATACTGTACCAGCCAGAGGACGAGGTTGATGGTGAAGACAGTAGGCACTCCTCCAAAGGGCAGGCCCTGCAGGACACTGCTGCGTGAGTGTGAGTGGTAACACCTATCCACTGTGCTGTTTTCCTCCACACCCAGGATGTCCAGCTCCAAGGACTCAAACATGGGCTTCTCTGTGCCCAACAAATCAGAATGTGCCGCCATGACAATGGCCTGGTTCTCAGCAAAGCCTGGACACTGTCAAAGCATTACTGAGGAGAAAGAAAATGAACAACAAACAGAAGTCAATGGAATGATCAACAAAAATAATTTTGCCCCAATTACATTGATTCATTTGTCATTACATGTTCACATAAAGAGCATCTGAAAGTGTACCATTTAAATTGTACAAAAAAAAAACACAAAAAACTAAAAAACAGGTTTTCAAGGACTTTTTGTGACAGTGTGTGCTCTATTGTTTTATTACACAACAATAACCTGTTGTCAGTGCAGAGACAGAGATGAATGAGTGCGGATCTAGACAAAAGGTCCAGGGTAATACAATGCTCTCCAGTATATTTTGTATGGGCTTTGATTAATTCTTCATATGGTATGGCCTTGAGGCTCTGGTCAGTCAAATAATGTATGTGAAGGAGAAAGTCTCACCGAGGGTAATAAACTATGGGCAGTACACACTGGTGTGCTGATGTATATCTTGCTTAGAGTTATTCATGTCTTTGGTTGCCATAGTAGTATCTACTCCATAATCCTCTCTTGGCTAAGTTTAGTCAACTCACTTAAGTTCATGAATTCTCAAATTTCACACTAGGCTTAATAGTGAGAAACCAATCTTGAAAGAGTAGTTTTATATATATATATATATATATATATATATATATATATATATATATATATAGCATTAGACTCGGTGGAAATGGAATATATGCAACAGCGTTACACAACTAGGATTCAAAAAAGGTCATAATAATAAGCCCTCCAGCATAGACTCCATTTCCCAGAATCCCTTGGATGATCATGTGACTGTCCAACTCATCATCCATCTGCCTTACCTGAATACTGATTATCTGCACCTGTTCAGTCTGTCATGTGACCTGTTTAGTTAGCCTTATAAGCCCGGGCTTTAGAGTAGGGACTTTGCAGGGTATTGCCACTGTTTACAGAGCTACCAAGCAATTACTTGTGCATTCCAGTTTGTTTTCTTGTGTACTGAACTTTTGCCTGTTTGATCTCTGCCTTTTGCTTTCTCCCCTTGGTTTGGTTATGACTGTGTTTTTCTGGTATTAGACTGTTTTGTAACTAAAGATTATAACTCTAACTAACCGTAAAAAAGGCAGTAATCAGGTACAGATACATTTTAAAATAAGGTCATTACTAGTAGAATTACATTAAAACTATTCTTACATAGCCTTCCTAGTGATTTTCTTTCCTGGGGTCATCTACATAACCTAAACCTTCAGTTTGTAAGTAGCTTCTGAGTATCCTTTATAGGATTTGCAAAGTTACGTTAGTGCCAAACTAACCTTCCCACACTGGTATATAATAGCGCTTATTGCAGCTGTGGCTTAAGTACCAACATTTGTATATTTGATAGTAGTTCTGGGAGCAGTAGCATATTTTTTCCTGTGCATGTGGCAGCTTTACAGTGCATCCTACAGCAAATATTGCAAGTTAAAGCTTACCTTTATTGAAGGAGCCTCTTTCCTCTCTTTCAATAATGCATAAAACCTACCAGCATGCTAATAGCTGCCCCTTGTGGAAAGCTTTAGACATAGGCATTTTAGGTATATGTGATTTAACATATTACAAGTTGCCCTCTACAATGATAAACATCTTACACTGTGCAAATTTGTGCTCTTTATGTTTGAAATTTCCATCTATTGTTCCCCTAAGATGTGGCCATTTCTAAACATGAGATCTCACAATAATCTGAGACACAATATCATCTGTGGTTCGCAACCTTTGGATACTTAACATGTTTTGGCTGATCAACTACTTTACTGTAGTAAGTGTACATTTGTATTTCCTCTCAGGATTCTGACTATGGCCTGTTGAGGCACTGCCAGGATCCAAACTCTTGATCTCTTAATCAGGAGGTAGTAAGATAGTTGTGCCATTCAGAATCCATACAGCTGATTAAATTACTGTGTCAATGAAAGAATGAAAAGGAGAATTAACTCAACTCAGAGCAGTGAGACCTGTGCTTAAATAGTCCCTCATGCTCAGACAGACAGCATTTGTGTTTAGATAAAAATAACTACCTGTGGTGCAACTGTGTAGGTGCCTGATCACTGGAAGACAAGAGATCCTGACTTTGAATCCCAGTGATGCCTCAGCTTAATGCAGTCAGTAACCTCTGTTCTGATTGACTGCCCTGTACGGCGCCTCATTCGGAAAGCAATCCAGGTTGGAACACTATATATAACTTCAGCATGAATGAGCAGAGTTAAATGCTTTAGGCCAAATAAATGGATACATGTTTGTGTACTGTTTTTTGTGAGATCACAGAAAGAGTTAAAACAGGCTGTTTTGTAGCTTAGTTTGCATACATAGACTATATGGACAAGAGAGTGAGTAATATATTGTGAAACTTTACTCATGTTTCTATACTAAATGACACTATTATTTCATAAAAGTGTGGAAAAGCCAGTTTTCCACGACACGGGCCCTTTAAGCAATTTCAGCTTCTAACCACATTCACTGCTTTTTCTCAGTACCCTCAATTTAAACGCCATTTTGTAGACCATACTTAGATGCAGTCCTAAAAATGTAAGTTGGAGAACATTTTTTTTACAGTGCACACACTGATTTATATACTGTTCAAATATGTCTGCACAGCCTTTCTGCTCTCTGCAGCAGAGAGTGGCAGCCAGAATTGACTCTGAGCAATGAGCCAGGCTGCAGTCACAAAGGTCTGTCACTGACCAAGGACCCTTAAGGTGACCATGTATATTACCCTCCATCATAACGACACTTAATGAGGAAGAGATGGGGAGTGGGGGTGCGGCACTGGGATCACAGATGCACACTTGATGATAACCAAACACAGGCTTGTGTTAGTCACTGTAATGATCCTGTCATTTCCTGCTGTTGTTTGAAATGTCAGTCAGATGGCTCTCTGGGGGACTTTTGTGACAACTCATGGATGGCAAAGCGAACAGAGCTGCTTTTATAGACACATACAATCGCCTCATCTTGCAGCTAGAAGCACACACGTTCTGAGGGTGACTCAGCCAGCGTGAGATCTGGGAAATAACATCATGAACCTTATGCTGATTTTACATCAACAGAGCTTGATCTATCACTTATTAACCTATGCTCAAATATTTAGAATTAGAACCTCGTCTAAGCACATTCACTGCACGCTGCAAATGGCCTGTATGATATGATGAAAGGAAGAATGGCTTTCTTTTAATTCAGTGATTGCATAAAGCTTAGCTCCACTGACTTACAAAAAAGCTTGTTCAGAACAGGAGGAAACAATGTTCTATAGCAGGACCGTACAATGCGACAATACAGTCGCCTGTGCTCTGAGAAGTTAATTCTGTGTGAATACAAAAAAGATAACAGTGGGAAATGTACAAAATCATTTCCCCACTGCCCAGCCATCTCCACAGCCTAAGCCGTGCGAGCTGCAACACAGGTTACATTCTAGTGTTAATGGTAGTTGTAGCCCATCAGGTAATTTGAACTTTATCGAATGCCTGTAAAGAAAGGTTCTTGCAATAATGTGCATGTTGTTTAGTTTGGGGCTACAGCCAGCTACAACTTGGAATTCTACCATTTGCCTGCTGAAAAAAAATTAGCCCAAAGACATCTCTGGATTCAGACACCATGACCTTAATTGTTGGATCAATTGGTTAAGTTAAAACATACACATTAGATGACACTGAGATTTACCTTTAGGTAGTAAATTGGCATGGCCTGAATAGCAGTTTCTCACTTTCTCCATAGTACCCCTAAAAACAATAATATTTACATTTCTAATATTGTTTTGTTAAAATTGAAAGAACTAGTGATACTGAGTCAGGAGGAAATAAACACTAAAATTGGATGTTTATGCGCTGCTGCGATTCACCCTTTAAAGCCTGAAATGATAATTTAAAAGTCAGAGACATCGGGTTGGATTTTTGGACCACGTCATATGTCTTTGTATACATACACAGAGCCACAAGAAAGACAAAATCAACATTATACTAATAAAGATATCATGACAACAGGACACAATTCATGTACATACTATCCAAAGTTCTCTTTGAATAGTCTTTCAATGAGCTTGCAAACATCAAAATTATTTGCTCGTTGCAGTCCATAAATAATACATGTTAAAAACGGTCTTCTGCACGTTGTGGGGGTTACGCATTTCCATCACTGAGGTCTCTAAATTTGACCAAAATTTACATTGTGTAGCTTTAAGTATGTTCATTTGTTTTAGATATCGTCAGAATAAAACCTTAAATCCCCAAAACTGTAACTGTACAAAAGAAAAGAAAAACATTCTTAACTTTTAATGGAAGTAAATGTAACAAGCTTTCTCTCGAAGTGATCATTTCTATTGGCTATTCATTCCAAAATTTTGATAAAAGTAACTTGGGTTTAACCTGACATTATATAAAAAAGTACAAAACAGCAAAAAATGGAGTTACAAGGTTTTTGCACAACAGCAATAACATGCTTAATCAAAATACTCCAGTTTTCAATTTGTAATAAATTGTTTTTTTTTATACATGCGGACATGTCTTTTTACAATGGATGTGTCAAAGAGGCCAAGAGACAGATGTGCTGTAACATTATGTCAGATATGGAGACAGATGAGTCTCAATTTCAGCTTACTCAGATAACAGCAATGATACAGTCGTGAAGTGTTTTCGTAGTCAGTTTGTACCTGGTTTAGATTACAGTGCTACCTTAAGGGGTAAAAGTTCAATTCCATTGTGGGTTAAATAACTTCAATAGACGAACATAAATCTTGTTCAGGATAGACAACTTGGCAGTGTTTTATACTAAATTTGCATAGATAGCCTGTCATGCATATCTTTAATGGATCAGCTAAACCAATTAGCTAGCCTAGTATCTCTGTTTGTCTCTGTGGAGAGTAAACAAGTAACTGAGGACACACTCAGCTTCTTCACCTGAATGTTGTTCCACAGTCAAAACTATAGCCAAACAAATTAATGTGTATTTGCCATTTTATTATCTTTCACTATCTTAGCTTTCTTCAGTCTTTCAAAGAAAAAGGCAGATATGCCAAAGT